GTCTGTAGAGAGCAGAGGAGAAGCAAAACCCTTGTCGGTTTTCCCTGAGGTGGAGTGGATCCACCGTCTCCTGAGGATCTGCTATAAGCTGGCCACCAAACATAATGCTTTCTGTACCCTTTTACCTTGTTTTGTATTATAGCAACCCTATCATTTTTAAAAATTTGCTGATGAGAAAACTGAGATGCAGCTTGCTATGATCTAGGGTTTTAAGTTTAGGAAACACTGCATGTCCCTTGGGGACAGCCAAACACAAATCAGCACATTATACATTCTCAGAAGTCTTACAGACTTCATTGGGTTCAGCCAGTGGTTCCCAGCTTACTAGGTCATAAAACCCACATTTTTCAGAATACGACTTACCTTGGAACACAGTTTAAGAAACTTATTTAAATCACAGAATCCAATATGAAGGGTTTAAATCCTGCTATTTCTAAATTTCAAAGTCTATTTCAAAGCCTGCCCCACACTATCCCACCTACTTTGGCACCTAATATTCTCCCTGGATCTCTGTCTCCTTGTCTACGAAAGGATTTTCTTTTGCATGTCAGTTTAGACATTTTTCTGCATCTCAAGCTCCAAGAAAGTCCTCAGTCCCAGGCCAGGAGTGTAGCCTGGGTGTGTGTAACAAAACAAGGGGTAGCACCCAGCACTGTCCCCATCAGAGGCAATCGTGAGATAAGTTTTCCATTCACTTGGACAATGGACACATAGATGTGCAAAAAGAGACACAACTGGTCTGCTCTCCACTTTCTTCTCAGGTGTTTCTAAATTATAAGGGTGGGGATGGGGTCTTAATGTTAGTCCCTGTGGGGTCAATCCCCTGCAGAAATGATGTGATAAGTCACTTTGTAAAATTTAAGCTTCCCGATTGTCTGTCTGCTTGCTGTCAGAGCAGAGGAAATGGGATGGAGCTGTGATGCAGGCAATTTACCCCTCAGAATAGAGATGATCATGGAGAGTAAACAAGCAGAAGAGCTCCACCCGGTCCCCTGTTTTGGAACTTACAGCAGGATGGGCTGGTCTGAGGTGATAACGTTCCCATTCATGTGAAGGTTGCACTTCATTGGTTGCCCTAAAAAAAACAAACAAAAAAAAGGCTCTGCCATGAGACCTCAGCTCCTTACACAAAAGGACAAAGACTGCCACTTGCATTACCAAGGGTCAAAGCACCCACAACTGGCAGCTCTGGCTTCACAGTTAGGGATGGGGCTGTCAGGTTTCAGCAAAGCAACCCCAGGGTGTGAGGTCCATGAAACCCTGGCAATGACAGCACCAAGAAGCAAAGTGGCAACAGACCCTGCTTTATGCAGGAAAAGATCAGAGTCAAAGTAAGCAAGAAAGTAGACTCAGCATAAAGCAATCCAAACTTGTTTGTGAAGCAAGTATTAAAGGAAAACGTCTACGGTATGAAATTAAGTGAAAAGAGTCAAAAATGAATGTCTGGGGGAGGGTACAGCTCAAGTGTTTAGCTTAGCATACACAAGGTCCTGGGTTCAATCCCGGTATCTCTTCTAAAAATAAATAAGTAAGTAAATCTAATTACTTCCCCACAAAAGATAAATAAATTTAAAAAAAAAAGTGTATGTTCAGATTTCTACTTTGTCCATGAAGGATTAACCTTAAAAGTTCTGGACTCCCACTTTATGTAATATGTGATAAGTATAACAGTAACAGCATAAAAAAAGGGAAAGAGAGAACAGAGCCCTAAAAGAGTAATATTTCTATATCTCACAGCAATTAAGTCAATCTGAAACACATTCTGATAAGCTACACATATACTGTAAACCCTTGATGAACCATTAAGAGAGTGAATCAAAACACATAATGGAAAAAATAAAGGAATTAAAATGTTGTATTAGAAAATATTCATATAATGCAAAAGAAAGCCACATAAAATATAAATGGATTAAATAATCCAGGCAAAAGGCAGAAGTTGTCTGGATTAAAAAAAAAATCCAACTATATGCTATCTATAGAGGACACACTTTAGATTCAAAGATATAAAAAGGCTGAAAGTAAAGGGATGGAAAAAGATATACCACCCAAACAACAACCCTAAGAAAGCTGGAGTGGCTATACTAATAAAAGACAAAATTGACTTCAAAACAAAAATGTTAACTACAGAGAAAGAGGGACATTTTATAATGATAAAAGGGTCAATCCATCAGGAAGAAAACTATTATAAATATATATGCAACTAACAACAGAGCCCCAAATATACAAAGCAAAAACGAACAGAATTGAAAGAAGTAAACAAACAATAATAGTTGAAGATTTCAGTACTTCACTTTCAAAAGTAATGGAGAGAACAACCAGGCCAAAGATCAAAAAGAGAAGACTTAAACAGCATTATAAACCAACTAGACCTGACATCTACCCAAAAGCAGCAAAATATTCTCCTTAAACACTCATGAAACAGAAAGGAAATTTGGTAAATTCACAGTTATAGAAATCAAACAAAACAATCCTAAATAACCAATGGGTCAAAGAAGAAATCACAAAGGAAATTTAAAAATACTTAGAGATGAATGAATAAAGACAACATACCTAAACTTACAAATGCAGCTAAAGCAGTGCTTAGAGGGAAATATATAGCTGTAAATTAAAAAGAATGAAAAGACAACCTATAGAATGGAAGGAAATATTGGCAAATCAGTTATCTGACACATATTTTTAAAATATAATTATTTTAAACTCTATTAAAAAGTGTCTGAACAGACATTTCTCCAAGATACACAAATAGCCAATAAGCTCAACACAACATCGTTAGCTATTAGGGAAATGTACATCAAAACCCCACCCAGTGTGTTTTATTAGTCTCTGCATCTCCACTTCCAGCACAGGGCCCTGGCCCATAGTGTACCCACTAAACAGAGAAAGAATAAATCAGTGGGCAGAAGGGCACAGCAGACAGAGTTTCTCTCTACAGGCTATCCCGAGATGAATAATATAAACCTGAATTCACTAAAATAGTTTACTCACGAGGAGCAGGGCTCACCCGGGTACCAACATTTAGACAACTTCAGGACTTTGAGGCACCCGTGTCCTAGTGGTAAGCAGGTCAACAACTGGAAGGTGGAGGCTACAGCTCTTGGCTTTCCTGGCAAGGTCTCTTATGAGGACCATCCATGGAGAAGTGGTGTTTCTATGTTAGCTAAACTAAGTGCTAAGGCTGGGTGAAAACCCAGGGCCCTGTCAAACAGGGAAGCTTAGCACCACCTGGAGACTACATCCCTGCCTGTTCTTGGTACACAGGAGGCCCCGGAGGGTTTAACGCACTGAGACGTCCACCACCCATCTCAGAGGAAGGCCTTCTCTGAGCAGTGAGGAGCAGGGAGGTGAGGTGGCTTCTTTCTCCCTGACTTACCGTCCAGACACCGGTTGTTATACTTCTTATATGCGGTGATGGCATCGTCCTTCTTCACAAAGACCACCTCTGCTACCCCAGGATGGACCAGCCGAGCCCGCTTCAGGGCTCCACACACACAGAAAAGCTCCTGCAAAGAACAAGAGGGGTTAGGGTTGGGAGAGAATTCTGGGCAGTCATCCTCCCTGTCTGCCATTCACACTCCAGAGAGGGCTCTGGGTTGACTGGAGGCTGTGCTCTGAATGAACAGCCCAGTACCCCAGGTTTCAGGGAAGCTCCATTTTAGGTGGCATTCCTGGGCCTTCCAACAGGCCTCAACATGGGACCAGAGGAGGGGAAGAGCTGTGCTGGCAGTGAGAAACGGGCTTGGCCTTACAAGCCTTGGAGTCCCTATCACTCCAAATCACCCCATCACAGTCCTCCTGCCTCAGTGCCCGCTTCAACAATGGTCCTAGTTATGGAATATGGAAATTCTCTCAGAGTGCTCTGTCATGAGAATGCACATGTAGATTCATCCATGTATCACCTAGGAATCAGAAATACAAATTCTGGAGTTCTATGCAGGGTGACCAACCATCCTGGTCTGGCTGGGTTGAGGAGTTTCTCAGGACATGGGACTTTCAGTGCTATCCAAGAAGAGAGGCCCTAGAGGCCCCAGGATGACAGGTTACCCTAAGTCAGACAGACCTAGGTTTGATCCCTGGGGTGCTGCCTCAAGTCAGCTGTGTGACCTCAAGCAGGTTATTTAACTTCTCTGAGGGTGAGTGTTCTCTTAAGAAAAGGACTGGTCTAGCCTAACTCCCAGGGATGTTGAAAGCTCAACTGAAACCATTTCTAAGACAGTGCTTTGTATACATGTGCCACATAATCATTTACTCCAATCCCTCCTCACTGCACAGACCAGGAGACTGAGAGAGAGGGAACACAATGCAGAGATGGACTGCAAAGGCTGACTATCACCCAAGCCATTTCTTCACCTGCAACTGCCTTTCACAAGGTTGTTATGAGGATAAAGAGAAGATTTATGAGAAGGTTGCTGAAATAATTTGTTCCTAATGATAAAAAGGAAAAAGCTATATATCAGAACCAAGATACAGAACAGAATACTAAGTGTCATCCCAATTTTATTACTGTTGTTCTCTTGAAATTACCTATATGGGTAGAAAAGAGATGAGGGCAACTATTACTGACAGTTTACTATGAGTAGTGATCATCACAGGTGATTAGTTTTTCACTCCTCTGTAGTTTCTAAGATCCTGCATACAAAGTGCCTTCCAATAGTAAGTATATAAATAATAATAGCTACTATTACTATTACTATAGCTATTACTACTTTTATAATCAAGAAAAAATTGTTTTAATTCTTTATAATTTGTCAAGTATTACACAAAGTAGGCTACAATTTGCATTCTTGTGTGCACAGTTCACAAAGCAATCACACAGCACTCATGTTTCACAATTAAAACCATTAACAAACATGGTGGCCAGTGTGGGCTGTCACAAAACCTATGGCTCAGTTGCAGGTAGAGGCTGGAGTCCAGCTGCATTCATTCTGTGACCTAACAGTTGAGTTAAAAGGATACCTGGATTCTTTAACAGTTTTTTTAGTGCCTGAATGAAAATGAGGTTGAAAAGAAGTCCTGGCAGCATCTGGGCCACTCTTCACCAGATACCTGGATTAGGTTTTGCCGATAACTGCCACAGGGGTGACAGGAAGGACTGGAAGGGCAATCCAGGAAGATCAACCACCAGATAATACCAATCCATCTCATTCCTTTTACTTTGGAGTCATCATGAAAATCCCTAACGGAGGCAGAAATTCCAAAGACTCTCAGGAAAACATGAACCACTGGATTTTGCACAGTGGGACTAATGGATCCTATGCAAGACAGTCCAGTATAATCCTCTGGCCCTGAGATTCAGGCTGGGCACCTTGCCCTGGTTTAGAAGTTGTGAGGAAAAGGGTTAACATAGCTGGTCTGACTGCTATCCTTTGGAAGGCCTGCTTCCAAGGTTGGCCCTTGGCTGGCATCTGGGAACTTGGATTCTGGGAAGTTTTCCACCCTAAATGATAAGAGTGGCTCACTATGCCTAAACCGTGTGAACAATGTGGTTCATGCTAAATATGTGCTTTCCTTCTGGAGTCTGGAATTTTGGTTTATGCTAGGCAGGGGTGCCTATGTGATCAGTCCCTGATAAAAACCCTGGGCACTGAGTCTCCAATGAGCTTCCCTGGTTTCACACATGTCGTCACAACCAATTGTGAGGGGAGTAAAGTGCATCCTGTGTAACTCCACTGGGAGAGGACTCCAGAAGTTTGCACCTGGTTTCCTCCAGCCTTTGTCCCAAGAGACTTTTCCTTCTGCTGATTCTGCTTTGTATTCTGTAATGAATCTTAGCCCTGATATGAAACTCTATGCTTAGTCCTGAGTCCTCTTAGAGAATCAGTTAACCTGGGGTTCCTGGGGACCCTTGACACAGAACTGGCTTGAGATTTAAAATTCTGGCAGGCCACAGTACTCACAACAATGTCCTCCTCAGTGACTCGAGGGTGCAGATTATTCACGGTCATCTTGGTGCCTTCCAAAGGGCTGAGGACAGGCTGTCATAGACAAAAGAGAGTTACTGGAAGTCAGAGAACAGCTGTGTGCTCGAACA